TTATTTCCCAGCATTCTGTTCTCTCTCCATTTTCTTGTACAGTCTGCCTCTGCTTTTTGCTTTTGCTTTTGATAGGGCTGAAGAACCTGGTCTTTAGTAGACAGTTATCTTTCATACAAGATGGAGGATCCTTTTTATGGTTGCACGAGCAATTCTTTTCGATCACTTCTGTGATCATTTGCTTCTGATGTGATCTTGCCAGCTGACTGCATTTCATTCATTTCAAAGGCAAGCAACCTGAATGGATTCCAATTACTGTATTTACTTGATTAGAAGACAACTGTGATTATAAAATGACCCCCCCCGATTATTAATTAGGTTCTATATATGGAGATTTGTTTTAATTTTTCCAGGGATAGAATCTAGTTATTGGAAGTTTGCCTTGAATTTGTCCCCTTCCCATTGCTACAGTAGGAAAAATAAATCTGGGGGAGGAAGGGAGTCAGGTAGCCCCTTTACTCTCCGCTCCCCCACCCCCAACTTTTTCTGCTGGCAACCCCTTCCCTCTCTCCTTACAGTCAGACCCTGCTTCCACTGAGTACATACAAGTAAAGAACAAAATTTGAAAACAATATCCTTGAAATTAAATACGACTACAGCAATTTGCATATAGCTCATCCAGAATTGATGCACGTTACCAACTTACCAGTCTATCAAGTATATGTCTGGAGTTAGATTGTATGATTTGAAATGAAGAAACAGTTTAGGGAGATTTTCTTCAAAGAAAACTTCAAAAGCTGCAAAATATTTCAGCATCTGAACAGGGAAACATAAGTGCTTACTAAAAAGTGACCTCCAGCAGAATAAAAAATACCAATAAAATGAAAGCTTAACCTTCCAACATAGCCATGTAGATCCAAAGAACAAACTTACTTTGGCTTTTTCCTCAAGAAACATAAAGGAAGTATTTTTTTTTAATGTCTTGGGTAATTTAATGCACTAATTTGATTTTCTACCCATTGGTTTAAATAATCCATTATTCCAAAGAAGCACTAGCAGATCAATAATTTCATGAACATGTTCCAAATCAAAGAAGAAAGTTTCAATGATGATACTATTAAAATATTTTAGAAACCGTACACATACCATGCTGTGATCCACACGGAAGAAGGCTAGCTGGCATGGCTTGTTCAGGAGGTTAGCAAAGGCAATGAAAGCATCTGCCTCTTCCAGATTGAGAATGAGTACAGCAGCAATGAAAGACATCCCTTGTACCTTAGGTGGGGGGAAGCAAATAAGCACACAAGATAGAGAAGCCAGGCACCTCTTAGATTTTTGTAAATACAAATATTTCTGAACTCCTAAATCTTGTTAAAAACCACTAGCCACTAGAGTTACAAGAGCAATTCGACTAAGTAAAAGAAACATATTTAATATTAAGAGAGCAATAAGTTTACAAGATTCTCTACCTATCTACCAAAAAACACCAGCAATATAATTTCCAAGAAAAATCAGGCACTTTCTGAAGATGCACATTGTGGACATCTGATATGGAGTTCCATGAAGAGTTGGACTCTAGCAGGTCCTGTGTAATCAAAAGGTGGTCTAAGTTTTGCAATGCCCAGACCCTTTAGTCAGTGAGGGTAAGAGAATCAGGAAAAATTTTCATACACAGCTGATCACAGTAGAATGGAGGCAATACCTCAGTACAGTAAACTGAGACAAATCCCATTAACCAACAGTACTTGGGACATGTGTATCCTACCCCATCCATCTACTAAGAAATTAGTTGTATTTAAAACTTCATACACTTTCTTAGGGGTGCACCAATAGAGAAGTTTAGGGCCGATACCAATAGCCAATTTTTAAGGAGGCTTATTGGCCAATACTGATCTGATTTCTGATGCACAGCCCAGCAGCTTGAAGAACAGTGTCTGGCTGGTAAGTCTATTGTGGTGGAAGGGGTGGGGGAGCAGGGAAGGGGCATGGGGGGGACAGACTGAGGCCCCTGCAGTGAGGGAGGGAGTGAGGCAGGGACAGGGACAGGAGCTGCCCAGCTGGGGCGGGGTGGGCACGGGAGAAACTATGGCTTGTCCAGGGGGTGCAGGGAGGGTGGGCCAGCTCTTACTGCTGTGGGCTGGGGCTGCAGCCACCCCAAAATTCGCTGTAGCTCCACCTCCCACCGCTGCCATCACCCACCCCAAGCACAGCTTGGCCCAACCCCCCCGCTGGAAAGAGCCTGGCGCAGCCCCGGCCCCAGCCCACAGCTGCAGCCTGCCCTGCCCTACCCCACGTAAATCTGGGGAGCACATGCCTTCCCCTCCCCTCCACGCCTTGACCTCCTCAGGTGTGCACAGCAGTGGAATCCACCCCCTCCCCCAACCCCGGACAAGCCACAGCTCCATCCTTGCACCCCACCCCAGCTGGGCAGCACATGCCCCATTCCTTCCCTCACTGCGGGGACTCTGACCTGCCCCCCTTCCACACAGCCCTTCCCTCCCCCCTCCCATCTACTACAGCAGACTCAACAGCTGCATGCAGCTCTCCAAGCTGCTGGGCTGTGCGCTCCTCATTGCCTATGTGCTGCTCTGTGGCTTAGCGCATGCACGGGCCATTTATCGGCCACATTAGCCAATTTCCGATGCAGCCAATTTTCTTTATAATCAGTGTCGGTCCAGTATCAGACTGATGCATCAGTGCACCTTTACTTTTTCTACTTCTGATAACTAGCTTTAAATTTCCAGAAAGCAGCAACACTACAGAATATTAATGAGGTTGATTGTTGATAATGCCTAACAACTTCTGATTTGAAATTATTCTAATGACATGAGAACAAGTGTGTGTTTAGCTATAATGAAGATTATAGCATTCGTTTCTAAAGGTACTGATCAGGCTGGCTTTTGCCCACAGTTAAAGAACATTAAAGAACAATGAATATTTAAACCAACTAGGAAAGATAATATCACATACACCAAATCTAACTTTTCCACTTGAGGAATAAACCATGAGATTACAAACAACGCTTTAGCACTATTACCAATATTAGTGCAAAGCATGGCCAAAAGCAGCCAGCCAGGCTGACTGACTGGATTCCAGTAAGAACAAATTCCAAAGCAAAGGGACTAAGAAACACTCATTTGCCTTTTAAAAATTCCACTTCTGCAGTTTGTAACTCCAATGAACAAGTCACCTGAAAAATGGGATCTGGATAATTTAAAGTTAAGAGTTGAAACCATCTTGAACATCATCCAAGTTCAGACTGGACAGCTAATGCAGAGCCCCAAGCAAGTGCACCAAATGCTAACTGTTGCTTTGATGGTTTTGAAGGACAGTCCATTGGAAAGAGCTGGAAAGTATGGACATACATTTACCATGGGTAAAAAGCAGCAGGGCTTTACCGTACATCAAATGTTCCACAACAGCTGAATACATGCATGCTCATAACCTTGTAGCAAGTGGAAGTGGTAATTTAAGCCAAGGACAGGCATTCATTTCTAGTGCTGCAAGTTTCTGGGATAAAGGTGCGGGGGAGGGAGGGACGGGCACACGACATATAGATGTTCCAGCCTGCAGCTGCCCTGTTCCCTGCTCTGCACATGTGCCTAGACCAAGTGACCGTGGACAGATAAAGGCAGAGGACCAGGTACTGCTCACTCCTCCTGGTCCCTGGAAGTTGCTGGGCAGCCTCTGGATCCCCACGTTTCCCACAATAGCGTCACCTCACTCCAGGGAAGATGCAAGGAACCCTTCCCCAGCATAGCACTCCACTCCCAGTCCCCAAGGCAA